CAGGCCTCTGAATGGACAGCAGGATAAATTTGATATGGCCAATCATTGATACACCAGACAGACAGACACTTGAGTAGGATTCCTTTTGAAATCCTAAACAGCCTGTTGTCATGGAAATGTTTTGTGCCAGAGCTCCCTTCTAGTTGGAAAATAAAAAAGCAAATACACTAACTTCAGTTTAAAAACACAATCCAAACCTTTACTGTATCTTTCAACCAAGAATCCAAAGTGAAAACAGTTTGAAAAAAATAATAATAAAGATTTTTAAAAATAACTCAAGGCACAAATATGAATACTGCAAAAATGTAATACTCTACATTACAAATTGTGTAATGGTGAATAGTCATTTGAAAAATGTATCTATCTATTTTTGGATATTCGTACAACCAACACAGAGGCAGTAGGAGGGGTGAGTAGAGGGGGGGGGGGTCCCTGTCCCCCTCCAATATGGCTGGGGGTGTAAACCAAACCACTAGCGACCGGGTGTAGCCAGCACACTGCCCAGCCGCCCCCTAAACTACCCTTCCTTCCATACCTCACCCCCTACTCCCCTCAGAGGCAATAACAATATGTACAACTCTGAGGCTGAGTCCCAAATGGCACCCTATTCTCTATATAGTGTACTACTTCTGACCAGAGCCAGTAGTGCACTATATAGGGAATAGGGTGCCATTTGGGACACAATAAGAATACTGATCCTAGATCATCTCCAGTGATGGGTGCTTTCTCTAATTCATCTTTTTAATACTCTTCACACTGTTTCCTGAACAGAGTGAAAGTCAGACACTATGACAGGAAGAGAGAATATAAAGAAGTGGATCCCTTCCAGCGAGTGAGATGACGGGATCCAGAAAAATAAGCTACTGACTCAGAGTGCATCTCTCTGCTACAGTAACTCATATAGTGCCCTCAAGTGGGGGGACAGCTAGGCTGCCCATAACTTCTACAATGTATATAAAAACGAGAACATTTATCCTCTTAGCAAAAATCTGTTACTGAGCAAAAGGCATAGCAAAAGAGAAGCCCCCAACCCAGTCCCTAACACTGACCTATACCCAATACCCAGAGACATATACAGAGATATACAGGTAACTTTCAAAATAAAATAAACACTTGAGTAAATGAGGGCTACAAAGTATTGAAAGCAGATGCTTCCATACAGGCGTGGTTCCTGAGTTAATTAAGCAATTAACATCCCATCATGCTTCGGGTCATGTATAAAAATGCCCAGTTGCCCATTATCAGACACTTGTAGAATATATGCCAAGACGCACGGAAGCTGTTCTGGCGCCTCGTGGTGGCCCAACGCCCTATTAAGACACTATGTTGGTGTTTCCTTTATTTTGGCAGTTACCTGTATGATATATATATATATATGTCAAAGATATATGGCTCTTTTAAATACTTAAACCCTGATGCCTATTATCAACACTAGTCTATCTGGTTCCTTTCAACACTGAGGAGATGCTGAGACACCATAGAGGAGCTCATGGGAGGATAATTAATTTAAAAGGGAAGGAAGGAAAGACGAGTAGAGATAAGTGTAGAAGAAGAGAGGCAGGTGGAAGAATTATGATGGGTAGGTATCAGAAGTGGAACTTTGGCACAGTTGACCACCTCCAATAGAATGTCTTATTACTATGCCTTCTTTGATTCTGTCTCGCCTCACCCGATTGGTCAGAAATACACCGTTGAGGTCTTATGTATCCGTAGCTAATGTCTGTTTGGGCCAAACCAAACAGACTTTAGCCTGGCACTTTGTTAGCCACTTTAACTTTGGAGCGGAAATGACTCTGTAAACATCTTCAGGCCGCTCCTCCACAGCACTACAAGAGTGACGGGACAGAGAGTGCTAGGCTACATCCCAAATTACCCTACTCCCTGTATAGTGTACTACTTTGACCAGGACGCATAGCACTCCAGTCAAAAGTAGTGCACTATATAGGACACAGGGTGCCACTTTGGACAAACCCCATGTTTGGAGCAAGACAGGAGGGTCCCAGTACTGCAATACTGTGATGGAGAAAACCTGGGTTGTTTGAATAGAGCAGTTCTACTTCAGACATACATTTGATAAATCAACTCAACATCACTAGCAAAAACCCAGAAAAATCTAGGTTTAAATATGAAACGTATGGGCAAAACTATATGTACAAGAGAAAAACCGCTAACAGGCCAAAATAAATAAACTGCCTAGATTTTTTCCTTGCTAATCTTTGTAGTGCTCAAAACTTTAACTATTTAAAGTCTTCATGGCCCAAGTTTCAGACTGTGCCATTCAAGAACAGGGGTAAGTGTTAGCGTTAGCTGCTGTTCTTTCATTCTGGCCCATAAATACCTCGCAAGCCTATTCGAACCACACCACAGTTCAGTCAAGCCTATTCGGACCACACCACAGTTCAGACACACACCAGCCCAAACCACAAGCTCATGGTCCAGTTACCTAACACATGTGACGTACATGATCCACACAGACACACGTCTGAAACAGAATCGTGTAGCAACACACACTATTCGCACTGTATACACTCCTCCTCCATAATAGCAAACTACACACACCAGAGGAAGATAGAATGACGTCTCAGCTTACCATTTAGCAGCAACAGTCCCTTAGCTCTGGTCTAAGGCGTTACGTGTGGCTTGCTGTTGAAGGCTCAGCATCAGCAAACCACACGTAACACCCTGGACCAGAGTTACTACAGTCCTTTGAACCCTGACCTCCATCTGTCTTTCTGTACAGGAGCACAATCCATAACGTCAGTTAGTCTTTTTCACACAGTGCACCTCCAGAGAGAGAACCCCCCCCCCCCCACAAAAGCCAAAACTGAAAAAAGTAAACATCTTGAAATAATACAATAAATTATGCTTAAAAAAACATCTATTAACAAAATAAATTAAGGCATGCAAAAGATAAAGTCAACCTAAGAGATGTGAATATCTTTTTTTTTTTTTGCCAAATGTCCATCTATTGTTACAACATCTTCCCATTCAAATGGAAGAACCACTCACTCTTAAGTCCTCAGGAAGAAGGTAGCTGCCAAAACAAAATTCAAATCCACTGGAATAATAACTAACAGGCTCTGAGCGTTTAAAAGGCCAAATATGTACATACGTGTTCTGTGCTCAAGCTTTTAAGTGGCCAGTATTTACATGTGTTCTGTGCATCATGCGTGTGGGCAGTGCAGCAAAGAAAGCAAAACGCTCATGTGACACACAGAGAAATAGGATCGAGTGATCTAAAACATCCGTTAAAAAATGAAAAAATAAATACTAAGAAAATAGATCATATCAGAAAATGTACATCACAATAAACAAATAAGTCGGCAATTTTCCTCTTTAAAGAATATGTTTCATCTTTAAAAAATGAACGATATGTGTAAAAAATTATATAACATGGAGACAAAAAATGTCTGTTGGCTTATAAAGGTGATAATACGGAGACGTTAGAAGTGAAAGCTGTGCTGAGCTGCTGAGCGGAGCTGTGAGATAAAGGCTGAGTCCCAAATGGCACCCTATTCCCTATATACTACCCTACTTTTGACCAGAGCCCTAAGAAAGTAGTGCACTATATAGGGAATTAGTGACTGGGGGAAAAAACAAAAATCGAGTTTCATATCGCAATATTATTTTTGGACGATATCATGACTCTACGTATCGATTTGTAAAATAAAATAAAATATATAACTTTGTTTATTTTTTGTTTGTTACTGTAGGTAGCGTTAGCGCTAGTTGGCTGTACCTGTGCCAAAACTACGGTATTTTTCATCCTATAGCTTGTTCTCCATCTTTTTAAATAGTGATCCAAAATGTTTTTAGCACTTATTTCCCTGATTGATCAAAACTCATCTTCTCATGCTCTCTCGTCTCCGCAGCAGACATAGACAGTGTACAAAACATTAGGAACACCTGCTCTTTCCATGACAGAATGACCAGGTGAATACAGGTGAAAGATATGATCCCTTATTGATGTCACTTGTTAAATCCCCTTCCAATCAGTATAGCTGAAGAGAGGAGACATATTAAAGAAGGATTTTTTAAGCCTTAAGACAACTGAGACATGGATTGTGTATGTGTGCCATTCAGAGGGTGCATGGGCAAGACAAAATATTGAAGTGCCTTTGAACGGGGTATAGTAGTAGGTGCCAGGCACCCTGGTTTGAGTATGTCACTGCAATGATACTGTGTTTTTCACGCTCAACAGTTCCCCATGTGTATCAAGAATGGTCCACCACCCAAAGGACATCCAGCCAACTTGACTGTGGGCAGCATTGGCGTCAACATGGGCCAGCATCCCTGTGGAACGCTTTCGACACCTTTTAGAGTCCATGCCCCGATGAATTGAGGCCGTTCTGAGGGTAAAAGGGGGTCCAATTCAATATTATGAAGGTGGTCCTAATGTTTTGTACACTCAGTATATAGTGAGCAATATGTTTGGAACGTCAAATGGCAATAAAATCGCAGTATCAAATAGCAATACATATCGTATCGGCACCTAAGTATCGGGACAATATCATATCGTGAGGTCCTTGGCAATTCCCAGTCCTATAGGGAATAGGGTACCATGTGGGAGGCAGCCAGAGAGCCGTGGTTCTGAGGCTGAGCCTGACACTTTAAGGCTTTGCAGTAAACATCAGATGTGAAAACGAATGCTGCCCCTCCCTCCTCATACTGTATTATGAAGTGTTGATGTGAAGTAGCTTAGTAGCTAAAGCCAGCATGAACACATTGACATGCAGTGACACACACACACAAACATGTCAGACACACACATCCTTGCAAGCACACACACACACACACACACAACATTCACAATCACAGAAACATACACAATCAATTGTTCGATTAAACAGACCCTATATGTCCCTTCCTCTTTCATATTTTTGTGTGCCTCTGACCCCCCCCCCCCCCCCCCTTTGGCCAGCTTTGGGGTCCCGTTTGATGCGTGAGGGGGTGTGAAGGGTTTAAGGGGTCAGGTGGGGCCGTAGGGAGGGGGTCAGAGTTCAGTAGTCTGCGATGGGGGCCTGATCGGGGTGCAGGTCCACGGTGATGTTCTTATACAGGGAGCTCAGGGAGATCTCAGGGGTGTAGTTGAGGTTGTTCAGACCATCCAGGTGCTGCCTCTCTTTGGAATACCTCAGCAGCTTGTACCTGCAGAGAGAGGAAAGGAAGGGGAAGGAGGATTAGCTAGCAGTTAGCATTTATACCGGCAGTCACAGCTCGAAATGGCACCCTATTCCCTACATATAAATATTTATTCCCTAGGGGCCCTGATCAAAAGTAGGTAACTGTGTAGGAAACAGGGTGCCATTTCAGGTGCAGTCACAGGGAGAGGAGGATAAGCTAGCAGTTAGCTATTATACCTGGAGTCACAGTGAGAGGAGAGGAAAGGGGATTAGCCTAGTTAGCAGTTAGCATTGACAGTAATGAATCCAATTCTACACACCACCACAGGGATCCTTAGTTAGCATTAATGCTAATGACATTAGGGAGATCCATAGTTAGCTTTTGCATAATGAAACCAGGGGGATCCTTTAGTTAGTGTAAGCTGATTCATTAGCATTAAAGCTATCTGGAGGAGCTTGTACTCTAGTTGCAGAAGGAAAACTCTAACCCAAAGAGAGAAACTCTCTTCTGCCCTCTCTCCTCCTCTGTCCCTCTTTCCCTGCATCTGAACTTCTGTTAAATCTGACAATTCATCTTGATGGTTGTAAAGTCGTCTCAAATAAAACTGTGAAGGACCTAGGCGTTACTCTTGACCCTGATCTCTCTTTTGACGAACATATCAAGACTGTTTCAAGGACAGCTTTTTTCCATCTACGTAACATTGCAAAAATCAGAAATTTTCTGTCCAAAAATGATGCAGAAAAATTAATCCATGCATTTGTTACTTCTAGGTTAGACTACTGCAATGCTCTATTTTCCGGCTACCCGGATAAAGCACTAAATAAACTTCAGTTAGTGCTAAATACGGCTGCTAGAATCCTGACTAGAACCAAGAAATTTGATCATATTACTCCAGTGCTAGCTTCCCTACACTGGCTTCCTGTTAAGGCAAGGGCTGATTTCAAGGTTTTACTGTTAACCTATAAAGCGTTACATGGGCTTGCTCCTACCTATCTTTCCGAGTTGGTCCTGCCGTACATACCAATACGTACGCTACGGTCACAAGACGCAGGCCTCCTAATTGTCCCTAGAATTTCTAAGCAAACAGCGGGAGGCAGGGCTTTCTCCTATAGATCTCCATTTTTATGGAACAGTCTGCCTACCCATGTGAGAGACGCAGACTCGGTCTCAACCTTTAAGTCTTTACTGAAGACTTATCTCTTCAGTAGGTCATATGATTGAGTGTAGTCTGGCCCAGGAGTGTGAAGGTGAACGGAAAGGCTGGAGCAACGAACAGCCCTTGCTGTCTCTGCCGGGCCGGTTCCCCTCTCCACTGGGGTTCTCTGCCTCTAACCCTGTTGCAGGGGCTGAGTCACTGGCTTGCTGGTGCTCTTTCATGCCGTCCCTGGGGGGGGTGCGTCACTTGAGTGGGTTGAGTTACTGACGTGATCTTCCTGTCTGGGTTGGCGCCCCCCCCCCCCTTGGTTTGTGCTGTGGTGGAGACCTCTGTGGGCTATACTCGGCCTTGTCTCAGGATTGTAAGTTGGTGGTTGGGGATATCCCTCTAGTGGTGCGGGGGCTGTGCTTTGGCGGAGTGGGTGGGGTTATATCCTTCCTGTTTGGCCCTGTCCGGGGGTTTCTTCGGATGGGGCCACAGTGTCTCCGGACCGCTCCTGTCTCAGCCTCCAGTATTTATGCTGCAGTAGTTTATGTGTCGGGGGGCTGGGGTTAGTTGGTTATACCTGGAGTACTTCTCCTGTCTTATCCAGTGTCCTGTGTGAATTTAAGTATGCTCTCTCTAATTCTCTCGTTCTCTCTTTCTCTCTGAGAACCTGAGCCCTAGGACCATACGTCAGGACTACCGGGCATGATGACACCTTGCTGTCCCCAGTCCGCCTGGCCTTGCTGCTATTCCAGTTTCAACTGTTCTGCCTGCGGCTACGAAACCCCTACCTGTCCCAGACCTGCTGTTTTCAACTCTAAATGATCGGCTATGAAAAGCCAACTGAGAGACCTGAGCCCTAGGACCATACGTCGGGACTACCGGCCGTGGTGACTCCTTGCTGTCCCCAGTCCGCCTGGCCTTGCTGCTATTCCAGTTTAAACTGTTCTGCCTGCGGTTATGGAACCCCTACCTGTCCCAGACCTGCTGTTTTAAACTCTAATGATCGGCTATGAAAAGCCAACTGAGATTTATTCCTGATTATTATTTGACCATGCTTGTCACTTATGAACATTTTTGAACATCTTGGCATGGTTCTGTTATAATCTCCACCCGGCACAGCCAGAAGAGGACTGGCCACCCCTCATAGCCTGGTTCCTCTCTAGGTTTCTTCCTAGGTTTTGCCTTTCTAGGGAGTTTTTCCTAGCCACCGTGCTTCTACACCTGCATTACTAGCTGTTTGGGGTTTTAGGCTGGGTTTCTGTACAGCACTTCGAGATATTAGCTGATGTAAGAAGGGCTATATAAAATAAAATTGATTGATTGATTGAACTCTCTACCATGCTGAAGGTTTCCCTCATAGCCCTCTAGTGCAGAGTTACTCTGGGGACTGTATGAGGATGAGACCTGGGTGACTGTTATGTTAAAAGGGACCTATGACTGTCAACAGGGCGAAAGGGACTTGGCCAACGAATAGGGAGTTAACTCAATGCTTGCACAGCAAACACAAACACAAAACAACTGACACTAGGCCTGGAAGGTAAGCAACTCTTATTCTAACAATCATAGCTCTGTGGTTGCACCAAGGCTACAGTGAACACAAAATTGTGTTGAGATAAATAAATAAAATTAATACAAATTAAACAGATGAATATTCCAGTACCTGGGGTACATTCAATTCCCTATATAGTGCACTACTTTTAGTACATACAATGTGAAGTAAAACATCAGAAAGTCTGGATGGCTGGATACAGGGAAAGGTTGATAGTACTGAAATAAAATATAAATGCAGTTACTTACTCCTGCCAGCAAAGGGCGATAGAGATGAGGAACAGCTGCACTCAAGTAGTAGGATTAACAGCGATCACTACCTTGAGATTTTTAAAGCAAGGGACTGTTTTAGGTACACCATATATACAAAAGTATGTGGACACCCCTTAAAATTTGTGGATTTGGCTATTTCAGCCACACCCGTTGCTTACAGGGGTATAAAATCGAGCACACAGCCATGCAATCTCCATTGACAAACATTGGCAGTAGAATGGCCTTACTCAAGAGTTCAGTGACTGTCAACATGGCACAGTCATAGGATGCCACCTTTCCAACAAGTAATTTCAAATTTTTGCCCTGCTAGAACTTCCCCGGTCAACTGCAAGTGCTGTTATTGTAAAGTGGAAATGTCTAGGAGCAACAACGGCTCAGCCGCGAAGTTGTAGGCCACACAAGCTCACAGAACGGGACCGCCGAGTGCTGAAGCGTGTAAAATTAATCTGTCCTCGGTTGCAACACTCACTACCAAGTTCCTAGCTGCCTCGGGAAGCAATGTCAGCACAATAACTGTTCGTCGGGAGCTTCATGAAATGGGTTTCCATGGCCGAGCAGCCGCACACAAGCCTAAGATCACCATGCGCAATGCCAAGCGTCGGCTGGAGTGATGTAAAGCTGGCCGCCATTGGACTCTGGAGCAGTGGAAACGCGTTCTCTGGAGTGATGAATCACTCTTCACCATCTGGCAGTCCGACGGACTAATCTGGGTTTGGCGGATGTCAGGAGAACGCTACCTGCCCGAATGCATAGTGCCAACTGTAAAGTTTGGTGGAGGAGGAATAATGGTCTGGGGCTGTTTTTCATGGTTTGGGCTAGGCCCTTTAGTTCCAGTGAAGGGAAATCTTAACCCTACAGCATACAATGACATTCTAAACGATTCTGTGATTCCAACTTTGTGGCAACAGTTTGGGGAAGGCCCTTTCCTGTTCCAGCATGACAATGCCCCCTTGCACAAAGTGAAGTCCATACAGAAATGGTTTGTCGAGATCGGTGTGGAAGAACTTGACTGGCCTGCACAGAGCACTGACCTCAACCCCATCGAACACCTTTGGAATGAATTGGAACGCCGACTGCGAGCCAGGCCTAATCACCCAACATCAGTGCCCAAACTCACTAATGCTCTTGTGGCTGAATGGAAGCAAGTCCCTGCAGCAATGTTCCAACATCTAGTGGAAAGCCTTCCTAGAAGAGTGGAGGCTGTTATAGCAGCAAACGGGGGACCAACTCCATATTAATGCCCATGATTTTGGAATGAGATGTTCGACTAGCAGGTGTCCACATACTTTTGGTCATGTAGTGTATTCTCATGAATACCACATATAACAAGGACTTCCTGGAGCAACGCTGCATTGACAGAGTTAAGCTAATGTGATGTTTGAGTTAACGTTAGGTAAACATTCTTTGACATGGTGACGGCGCCTGCTATGCACTGCTAGCATGCATGTACTAACCTGCCCAGGAACTGCACCTCTCCCCGGTGGTGGTGTGGGATGGACTTGTATTTACCCATTTCTCCCTCCGGCCTTGTGATGTTCAGACCAGCATAGTGCACTCTATGAGAGAGAGGGACAAACAAACCCTTTCATTAAGTTACCCAATCAGATAACAGATTTGTCTCTCTCAAACACACACAGGCGCACGCACGCAGACACACACTAACAGACCTGTTCCAAAGGTCATCGTCCTCTCCTCCCCAGCCCCAGAATGCATTGGGAAAGCCGTTAATCTTGCGGAACTGTTCCACTGTGAGTCCACTCACGCCCCCAAAGAACTCACTATAGGGTAGTCTGTGGACAACACACACAGTGTTACACACACACGGGACACACACTTGTAACACGCGCACCACACATTCAACACGGACAGAGAACAGACAACATAGCCTAGCTTGGCCTGGGGAAAGATTGAGTTTTGAACGAAACGACAGAAAGGAAAAAGAAAGAGAGAGACCTTACCAGTCAGTATCACAGGAAAGCAACCAGGTAACAAAAGAACAAGTCTGTCTGTGATACAACACACAGACACACAGACCCACAATTATGTTTTCAGACAATTTACCATACAGTCTGCAAATTTAGAAGAGACACACATAACCAGAGGGGAAAATCTGTTCATAAATTAAGCCTTACTCCAGGACCACAGTGTTTCCCCTGTATTCATTTAGCAGCAGCGCACCGCCGCTGCTGAATTGTTGCCGCCACACCAAAAAATGAATAATAATGATTATTATTATAATTTTTAGAAATACATTTTCTGGATTGGAAAAACACTAAGTGTAAACTTAAATGACTAAAGTATGACTAAAGTATGTAGAAAAAATAATTGACATATATATTTTTTTTAAATATTCGTTGAGGAACTAGAAATCACCAAAATAAAAGCAAGACATTCAGGGAGAATGAAAACTTCTAAAAACAATGAATTTAGGAGTATGTTTGGCATAGCTGGATTACTGATGGTGCACTCGCCATCAGGGTCCCATTTATTTATTTTTTATAATGTTTGAGCATTAGAATACAAAATTAGCCATGACAAAATGCTCAGAATTGCAGGAAATCTGCTTTCACGCTGCAAAATGTTCTCTAAGCTACATGGAGAAATATATAGAATTGTAGGATATTTGCTGAAAAATAGCATTTTGCAATTTTTCGCCAATTCCGGACTGATTTAAGCCATGACTTACAGGTACATGTACTTGTCCAGTTTGGCTGCGAAGTGGCGAGGCATCTGACCACAGCCGTAGTAGTTACGGTCGTTCTCTGGGATGTGGTCGACATCGTGGAACACCAGACAGTCCCAGTCCAGATCCTTCATGGCTTCCAGGAAACCCACGTTAAACAACATTGCTCTGTTGAACGGCTGGGTACCAGACTGATGGAGGGAGAGAGAAGAGTTAGACTAACCCTAAACCATGTTAAACAACATGGCCCTATTGAAGGGCTGGTCCAGTGTCACATTTTGTCAACAAAAATAGTAACGGAAATATTTGTCAAACACCTATTTTTCAGTGGCAATTGACAAGCCCATAACTGACTAAATAGACCCAGAAAAAACTATAACTAAACAAAACTGATTTTTCACTTCGGTTGACGAAAATGAGACTCTCTCTGTGACTAAAATCTGACTAGTAAGTGGACTGTACAAGAGTTTTTGGAGAGATTGAGAGCTTTTCAGTGTTCTTCGTTTGGTCCAATCAAAAGCATGCATGACATTAGCAGAATTGTAAGGATTTCTGATCGCAATGTTGCAATGCGGTAGAAAATAAATATCATGCCCAGGTCATTCACGAGTCACCTCTCTACCCGGCAACCGTTCTCCAATCTGGCTGACAAACAAATCATTGATGCAAATAAGGCACACGCCATGGCTACTCTCCTTATGGTACAAGCTCCCGGTAGAAAAAGGTCGATGTTTGGAGCCACTTTACTTATCATGTCGATTCAAACAAGACCGAATGCAACGTTTCCATGGGAGAAGAGAGTGTTTGCACCTACAATCTGACAGGGAAAAATACTACCAACCTCAAGAGACATCAGAAAGCGCATCATTCCAATATATACGCTCAGGTAATAAGAGATAAATAATGCTAGCTAATTAGTTTGCTGCAACCTATCAGACCACTACCTATGAGAGAACTTTGATTAGAATATAGCTATATCATGTCAAGGGGCAGGGCTCCAGACTGCAACCATTCAGTCACGTTTTGCGACCATTTGACTTGGCTGTGAGAGTTTAAAAAAATGTTGATCGCATCAGTGCGAGCTGAACATTTATTACAAGGTCACCTCACTACTAAGTTTCAAAACTTCAAATTTTTGGCTGCTAAAATCATGATTTGTTCAAACAGTAAAAGTGCATTATCCTAATGATTCCTTTAATGACAGTGTATGCCCAGCCCCTGGGCCTGTTTCGTTAGATGAATAGGTCATTCTCTCTACTATTATTCTGACATTTCACATTCTTAAAATAAAGTGGTGATCTTAACTAACCTAAGATAGGGAATTGTTACTAGGATTAAATGTCAGGAATTGTGAAAAACTGAGTTTAAATATATTTGGCTAAGGTGTATGTAAACTCCCGACTCGTTGCCTTTGACAGCTTTGTACACTCTTGGCATCCTCTCAACCAGCTTCACGAGGTAGTCACCTGGAATGCATTTCAATTAACAGGCCTTGTTAAAAGTTCATTTGCATTTGAGCCAATCAGTTGTGTTGTGACAAGGTAGGGGTGGTATACAGAAGATAATCCTATTTGGTAAAAGACCAAGTCCATATTATGGCAAGAACAGCTCAAATAAGCAAAGAGAAATGACAGTCCATCATTACTTTAAGATATGAAGGTCAGTCAATACGGAACATTTTAATAACTTTTAAAGTTTCTTTAAGTGCAGTCACAAAAACCATCAAGCGCTATGATGAAACTGGCTCCACAGGAATGGAAGTCCCAGAGTTACCTCTGCTGCAGAGGATAAGTTCATTAGAGTTACCAGCCTCAGAATATGATTTATTTTTCAACAGGACAATGACCCAACACACCTCCAGGCTGTGTAAGGGCTATTTTACCAAGAAGGAGAGTGATGGAGTGCTGCATCAGACGACCTGGTCCACAATCACCCAAAGTCAACCCAATTACATTTACATTTTACATTTACATTTTAGTCATTTAGCAGACGCTCTTATCCAGAGCGACTTACAGTTAAGTGAGTGCATACAAATATATATATATATATATATATATATATATATATATATATATATATATATATATATATATATATATATATATATATTTTTTTTTTTTTTTTCATACTGGCCCCACCGTGGGAATGGAACCCACAACCCTGGCGTTGCAAACGCCATGCTCTACCAACTGAGCTACATCCCTGCCGGCCATTCCCTCCCCTACCCTGGACGACGCTGGGCCAATTGTGCGCCGCCCCATGGGTCTCCCGGTCACGGCCGGCTACGACAGAGCCTGGATTCGAACCAGGATCTCTAGTGGCACAGCTAGCACTGTGATGCAGTGCCTTAGACCACTGCGCCACTCGGGAGACACGAGTTGAGATGGTTTGGGATGAGTTGGACCGCAGAGTGAAGGAAAAGCAGCCAACAAGTGCTCAGCATATGTGGGAACTCCTTCAAAACTGTTGGCAAAGCATTCGAGGTGAAGCTGGTTGAGAGAATGCCAAGAGTGTGCAAAGCTGTCATCAAGGCAAGGGTGGCTACTTTGAAGAATCTAAAATATATTTTCATTTGTTTAACACTTTTTTGGTTACTACATGTTTCCATATGTGTTATTAATAGTTTTACAATTATTCTAAAATGTAGAAAAGAGTCAAAATAAAGAAAAACCCTTGAATGAGTAGGTGTGTCCAAACTTTTGACTGGTACTGTGTGTATATACCATATATACACACACACACACACACAAACTACCGTTCAAAAGTTTGGGGTCACTTAGAAGTGTCCTTGTTTTCCATGAAAACATACATGAAATGAGTTTGAATACGAAATATAGCAAAATGCATAGGAAATGTACTCATTGACAAGGTTAGAAATAATGATTTTTAATTGAAATAACAATTGTGTCCTTCAAACTTTGCTTTCATCAAAGAATCCTCCATTTGCAGCAATTACAGCCTTGCAGACCTTAGGCATTCTAGTTGTCAATTTGTTGAGGTAATCTGAAGAGATTTCACCCCATGCTTCCTGAAGCACCTCCCACAAGTTGGATTGGCTTGATGGGCACTTCTTACGTACCATACGGTCAAGCTGCTCCCACAACAGCTCAATAGGGTTGAGATCCGGTGACTGTGCTGGTCACTCCATTATAGACAGAATACCAGCTGACTGCTTCTTCCCTAAATAGTTCTTGCATAGTTTGGAGCTGTGCTTTGGGTCATTGTCCTGTTGTAGGAGGAAACTGGCTCCAATCAAGCGCTGTTCACAGGGTATGGCATGGCGTTGCAAAATGGAGTGATGGCCTTCATTCTTCAAGATATCTTTTACCCTGTACAAATCTCCCACTTTACCACCACCAAAGCACCCCCAGACCATCACATTGCCTCCACCATACTTGACAGATGGCATCAAGCACTCCTCCAGCATCTTTTTATTTGGTCTGCATCTCACAAATGTTGTTCTTTGTGATCCGAACACCTCAAACGTCGATTCGTCTGGTCCATAACACTTTTCCAATCTTCCTCTGTCCAGTGTCTATGTTCTTTTGCCCATCTTAATCTTTTATTTTTATTGGCCAGTCTGAGATATGGCTTTTTCTTTGCAACTCTGCCTAGAAGTTCAGCATCCTGGAGTCGCCTCTTCACTGTTGACGTTGAGACTGGTGATTTGCGGGTACTATTTAATGAAGCTGCCAGTTGAGGACCTGTGAGGCGTCTGTTTCTCAAACTAGACACTAATATATTTGTCCTCTTGCTCAGTTGTGCACCGGGGCCTCCCACTTCTCTTTCTATTCTGGTTAGAGACAGTTTGCGCTGTCCTGTGAAGGGAGTAGTACACAGCGTTGTACGAGATCTTCAGTTTCTTGGCAATTTCTCGCATGGAATAGCCTTCATATCGCAGAACAACAATAGACTGACGAGTTTCATAAGAAAGTTAATTGTTTCTGGCCATTTTGTGCCTGTAATTGAACCCAAAATTGCTGATGCTCCAGATACTCAACTAGTCTCAAGAAGGCCAGTTTTATTGCTTCTTTAAAATCAGCAAAACAGTTTTCAGCTGTGCTAACATCATTGCAAAAGGGTTTTCTAACGATCAATTACCCTTTTAAAATTATAAACTTGGATTAGCAAACACAACGTGCCATTGGAACACAGGACTGATGGTTGCTGATAATGGGCCTCTGTACGCCTATGTAGATAGTCGATTAAAAATCTGCCGGTTCCAGCTACATTAGCCATTTACAACATTAACAATGTCTACACTGCATTTCTGATCAGTTTGATGTTATTTTAATGGACAGAAAAATTGCTTTTCTTTCGAAAACAAGGACATTTCTAAGTGACCCCAAACTTTTGAACGGTAGTGTGTGTATATACAGTGGGGAGAACAAGTATTTGATACACTGCCGATATTCCTACTTACAAAGCATGTAGAGGTCTGTAATTTTTATCATAGGTACACTTCAACTGTGAGAGACGGAATCTAAAACAAAAATCCAGAAAATCACATTGTATGTAATTCATTTGCATTTTATTGCATGACATAAGTATTTGATCACCTACCAACCAGTAAGAATTCCGGCTCTCACAGACCTGTTAGTTTTTCACTGTTCTCCACTCATTACCTGTATTAACTGCACCTGTTTGAACTCGCTACCTGTATAAAAGACACCTGTCCACGCACTCAATCAAACAGACTCCAACCTCTCCACAATGACCAAGACCAGAGAGCTGTGTAAGGACATCAGGGATAAAATTGTAGACCTGCACAAGGCTGGGATGGGCTACAGGACAATAGGCAAGTAGCTTGGTGAGAAGGCAACAACTGTTGGCGCAATAATTAGAAAATGGAAGAAGTTCAAGATGACAGTCAATCAACCTCGGTCTGGAGCTCCATGCAAGATATCACCTCGTGGGGCATCAATGATCATGAGGAAGGTGAGGGATCAGCCCAGAACTACACGGCAGGACCTGGTCAATGACCTGAAGAGAGCTGGGACCACAGTCTCAAAGAAAACCATTAGTAACACACTACGCAGTCATGGATTAAAATCCTGCAGCGCACGCAAGGTCCCTCTGCTCAAGCCAGCGCATGTCCAGGCCCGTCTGAAGTTTGCCAATGACCATCTGGATGATCCAGAGGAGGAATGGGAGAAGGTCATGTTGTCTGATGAGACAAAAATAGAGATTTTTGGTCTAAACTCCACTCGCCATGTTTGGAGGAAGAAGAAGGATGAGTAGGATTGAGGGGAGGATGGATGAGGCCATGTATCGCGAGATCTTGGCCAACAACCTCCTTCCCTCAGTAAGAGCATTGAAGATGGGTCGTGGCTGGGTCTTCCAGCATGACAACGACCCGAAACACACAGCCAGGGCAACTAAGGAGTGGCTCCGTAAGAAGCATCTCAAGGTCCTGGAGTGGCCTAGTCAGTCTCCAGACCTGAACCCAATAGAAAATCTTTGGAGGGAGCTGAAAGTCCGTATTGCCCAGCGACAGCCCCGAAACCTGAAGGATCTGGAGAAGGTCTGTATGGAAGAGTGGGCCAAAATCCCTGCTGCAGTGTGTGCAAACCTGGTCAAGACCTACAGGAAACGTATGATCTCTGTAATTGCAAACAAAGGTTTCTGTACCAAATATTAAGTTCTGCTTTTCTGATGTATCAAATACTTATGTCATGCAATAAAATGCAAATTAATTACTTAAAAATCATACAATGTGATTTTCTGGATTTTTGTTTTAGAATCCGTCTCTCACAGTTGAAGTGTACCTATGATAAAAATTACAGACCTCTACATGCTTTGTAAGTAGGAAAACCTGCAAAATCAGCAGTGTATCAAATACTTGTTCTCCCCACTGTGTATATATATATATATATATACATATACACACTGCTCGAAAAAATAAAGGGAACACTTAAACAACACATTGTAACTCCAAGTCAATCACACTTCTGTGAAATCAAACTGTCCACTTAGGAAGCAACACTGATTGACAATAAATGTCACATGCTGTTGTGCAAATGGAATAGACAACAGATGGAAATTATAGGCAATTAGCAAGACACCCCCAATAAAGAAGTGGTTCTGCAGATGCTTCCTGGCTGATGTTTTGGTCACTTTTGAATGCTGGCAGTGCTTTCACTCTAGTGGTAGCATGAGACGGAGTCTACAACCCACACAAGTGGCTCAGGTAGTGCAGCTCATCCAGGATGGCACATCAATGCGAGCTGTGGCAAGAAGGTTTGCTGTGTCTGTCAGCGTAGTGTCCAGAGCATGGAGGCGCTACCAGGAGACAGGCCAGTACATCAGGAGACGTAGGAGGGCAACAACCCAGCAACAGGACCGCTACCTCCGCCTTTGTGCAAGGAGGAGCAGGAGGAGCACTGCCAGAGCCCTGCAAAATGACCTCCAGCAGGCCACAAATGTGCATGTGTCTGCTCAAACGGTCAGAAACAGACTCCATGAGGGTGGTATGAGGGCCCGACGTCCACAGGTGGGGGTTGTGCTTACAGCCCAACACCGTGCAAGACGTTTGGCATTTGCCAGAGAACACCAAGATTGGCAAATTCGCCACTGGCGCCCTGTGCTCTTCACAGATGAATGCAGGTTCACACTGAGCACATGTGACAGATGTGACAGAGTCTGGAGACGCCGTGGAGAACGTTCTGCTGCCTGCAACATTCTCCAGCATGACCGGTTTGGCGGTGGGTCAGTCATGGTGTGGGGTGGCATTTCTTTGGGGGGCCGCACAGCCCTCCATGTGCTCGCCAGACGTAGCCTGACTGCCATTAGGTACCGAGATGAGATCCTCAGACCCCTTGTGAGACCATATACTGGTGCAGTTGGCCCTGGGTTCCTCCTAATGCAAGACAATGCTAGACCTCATGTGGCTGGAGTGTGTCAGCAGTTCCTGCAAGAGGAAGGCATTGATGCTATGGACTGGCCTGCCTGTTCCCCAGACCTGAATCCAATTGAGCACATCTGGGACATCATGTCTCGCTCCATCCACCAACGCCACGTTGCACCACAGACTGTCCAGGAGTTGGCGGATTCTTTAGTCCAGGTCTGGGAGGAGATCCCTCAGGAGACCATCCGCCACCTCATCAGGAGCATGCCCAGGCGTTGTAGGGAGGTCATACAGGCACGTGGAGGCCACACACACTACTGAGCCTCATTTTGACTTGTTTTAAGGACATTACATCAAAGTTGGATCAGCCTGTAGTGTGGTTTTCCACTTTAATTTTGAGGGTGACTCCAAATCCAGATCTCCATGGGTTGCTAAATTTGATTTCCATTGATAATTTTTGTGTGATTTTGTTGTCAGCACATTCAACTATGTAAAGAAAAAAGTAATTCATAAGACTATTTCATTCATTCAGATCTAGGATGTGTTGTTTAAGTGTTCCCTTTATTTTTTTGAGCAGTGTATGTATGTATGTATGTATGTATGTATGTATGTATGTGTATATATATATATATATACACACACACATACATACATACATATACACATATACACATACATACATACACACATACACACAGTGAGGAAAAAAAGTATAGTCAGCCACCAATTGTGCAAGTTCTCCCACTTAAAAAGATGAGAGAGGCCTGTAATGTTAATCATAGGTACACGTCAACTATGACAGACAAAATGAGAAGAAAAAAAATCCAGAAAATCACATTGTAGGATTTTTTATGAATTTATTTGCAAATAAGTATTTGGTCAATAACAAAAGTTTCTCAATACTTTGTTATATACCCTTTGTTGGCAATGACACAGGTCAAACGTTTTCTGTAAGTTTTCACAAGGTTTTCACACACTGTTGCTGTTATTTTGGCCCATTCCTCCATGCAGATCTCCTCTAGAGCAGTGATGTTTTGGGGCTGTCGCTGGGCAACACGGACTTTCAACTCCCTCCAAAGATTTTCTATGGGGTTGAGATCTGGACACTGGCTAGGCCACTCCAGGACCTTGAAATGCTTCTTACGAAGCCACTCCTTCGTTGTCCGGGGCGGTGTGTTTGGGATCATTGTCATGCTGAAAGACCCAGCCACGTTTCATCTTCAATGCCCTTGCTGATGGAAGGAGGTTTTCACTCAAATTCTCACGATACATGGCCCCATTCATTCTTTCCTTCCTTTACACGGATCAGTCGTCCTGGTCCCTTTGCATAAAAACAGCCCCAAAGCATGATGTTTCCACCCCCATGCTTCACAGTAGGTATGGTGTTCTTTGGATGCAACTCAGCATTCTTTGTCCTCCAAACACGACGAGTTGAGTTTTTACCAAAAAGTTATATTTTGGTTTTATCTGACCATATGACATTCTCCCAATCCTCTTCTGGATCATCCAAATGCACTCTAGTAAACTTCAGACGGGCCTGGACATGCTGGCTTAAGCAGGGGGACACGTCTGGCACTGCAGGATTTGAGTCCCTGGCGGCGTAGTGTGTTACTGATGGTAGGCTTTGTTACTTTGGTCCCAGCTCTCTGCAGGTCATTCACTAGGTCCCCCCGTGTGGTTCTGGGATTTTTGCTCACCGTTCTTGTGATCATTTTGACCCCACGGGGTGAGATCTTGCATGGAGCCCCAGATCGAGGGAGATTATCAGTGGTCTTGTATGTCTTCCATTTCCTAATAATTGCTCCCACAGTTGATTTCTTCAAACCAAGCTGCTTACCTATTGCAGATTCAGTCTTCCCAGCCTGGTGCAGGTCTACAATTTTGTTTCTGGTGTCCTTTGACAGCTCTTTGGTCTTGGCCATAGTGGAGTTTGGAGTATGACTGTTTGAGGTTGTGGACAGGTGTCTTTTATACTGATAACAAGTTCAAACAGGTGCCATTAATACAGGTAACGAGTGGAGGACAGAGGTGCAAAGACGACTGATCCGTGTAAAGGAAAGAATGAATGGGGCCATGTATCATGAGATTTTGAGTGAAAACCTCCTTCCATCAGCAAGGGCATTGAACATGAAACGTGGCTTGTTCTTTCAGCATGACAATGATCCCAAACACACCGCCCGGGCAACGAAGGAGTGGCTTCGTAAGAAACATTTCAAGGTCCTGGAGTGGCCTAGCCAGTCTCCAGATCTCAACCCCATAGAAAATCTTTGGAGGGAGTTGAAAGTCCGTGTTGCCCAGCGACAGCCCCAAAACATCACTGCTCTAGAGGAGATCTGCATGGGGGAATGGGCCAAAATACCAGCAACAGTGTGTGAAAACCTTGTGAAGACTTACAGAAAACGTTTGACCTGTGTCATTTCCAACAAAGGGTATATAACAAAGTATTGAGAAACTTTTGTTATTGACCAAATACTTATTTTCCACCATAATTTGCTAATAAATTCATTAAAAATCCTACAATGTGATTTTCTGGATTTTTTTTCCTCATTTTGTCTGTCATAGTTGACGTGTACCTATGATGAAAATTACAGGCCTCTCTCATCTTTTTCAATTTGGCTTTTGGGAAGAGAATCATGCGATAGGATGTTATGCCGAAAAATATGTTGGTAGGACATCAAAGTCAGTGATTTATGGTTACTATTGGTTAATGAGGCAATAAAGAAATTGATGACTAAAATGTGACTAAAATAAAAGGCCATTTAGTTGATGACAATGGCCCACTGTTTTCATCATTTTGACAATAACTAGACTAAATCATTATTCGAATAACAAAAATGTGACTAAGACTAGACTAAATTAAAAAAAATTAAAAAGAGTGCCAAAATTAACACTGACTGGGTCACAAACTGAGAAGGGAGAGAGAAAGAGAGTGATGGATGGAGGGAGGGAGAAAGAAAGAAGGAGAAGGGGAGAGAGAGGGGAGGTCGAAGAGAGAGCAACGTTGTGAGCTAAACTATCTACATCATAGATTCTACATTTCTCACCAGTGGGTGGCAGAGTTGACAAAGTAGAGAGGCTGAATAGAAAGAAGGGAGACTAAATCTGTGCAATAATAACAGAACTTGTTTACAGACGTGTTTAAAGCCGTGTTACCTGCTCGACGACGTAATATGCAAACTGCAGTCGCTGTCTCTGCAGCATTGGGGTGAGGTGCTGGAACAGGATGGGAAGGTGCTCGTGGCGGTTACGGAAGGGGATCAGGATAGCCACCTACACAGGGAGCAGGAGAGTCAGACACACCCACAGCATGTATAAGCTCATGTGCATCTAATACAGAGGGAGCAGGGCAGACAGAACCAGAATAAAGTAGAACATCATATGCTTCTAATAGAAGACACAGGTGTATACAAATATGGCTACAGTTCAATTTCATTATCTAACAGTAGTAAAATAACTGAAACACACAAGCACACACATTTCGTCAGTAATCCATGTCAACAGTCATACCTTCCAGCGTGGTTTACAGTCCTTGGGTTTCCAGTGTCCTCCAAAGTGAACATCCAGATACTTAGTGAACTTCAGATCAATCTCCTCCATAGGGATCTCAGTCATATTGACATCCATCGGACCCTCTGAGAACATACACATAAACCTTCAGTAAACAAACACACACACACACTGTGGGATCTTAGTCAGTCCCTCCAGGATTTCACTACGTTTCTTTTCTCTTTTCTTTTTGTTGCGGGCAAAAAATTTGGATTTTTCTGCGGCAATTCTTACATTTGGCCTATGTGCTGACGCAGAAAAAGGTTTGTTGACATGTGGCTTGATTGAACCATTTTATGTGGTAATATTGCTTTGATTGAACTGTTTTATGCTGAAACAGTGCAGTGATATGTCCAATTTGTGTAATATGGGGGGGGAATTGTTGTTTTGCCAAAGAAAGTTGAGCGTAGAATTGCAAAATCCTGGAGGGACTGCTTAGTCATATTCACATCCATAGGACCCTCTGAGAACCCACAATACACACACACACACACACACCTGTTTTACAAACGTCAGTTATGGAGAATAGAAGGACATAGCCTACAGAGAAGGCACTAAATGTCACATTTGCAACTATAAATTAGCCTTATGTCATACTGTCAGTAATCATGGGTTTTCAATCCATGCGGGTAGAAAAAAGATATCACGCATTGATGAATTGTCATGATGAACACAGTCGTAGTGCTAGAGCTGAAATAGACCCAACCCTGTTGTTGTAAACCAAATTTGATTAAAGTCAAATTCAAGTAAAAGCAAAATACGAGGCCTAAGCACTGGACAGAGAGGGGGGGGGGGGGGGTGTATGTACAATGCATTCGGAAAGTATTCACACCCCTTCACTTTTTCCACAGTTTGTTACGTTACAGCCTTAAATAACACTTTTTCCTCATCAATCTACACACAATACCCCATAATGACAAAGAGAAAACAGGTTTAGACATTTTTGCAAATGTATTTTAAAAAAAAGAACAGATCCCTTATTTAAATAAGCATTCAGACCCTTTGCTATGAGACTCAAAATTGAGCTCAGGTGAATCCTGTTTCCATTGATCATCCTTGAGATATTTCTACAACTTGGTCACTACAATGGTCACTCTGGCAGAGCTCCAGAGTTCCTCTGTGGAGATGGGAGAACCTTCCAGAAGGACAACCATCTCTGCAGCACTCCACCAAATCAGGCCTTTATTGTAGAATGGCCAGACGAAAGCCACTTCTCAGTAAAATGGCACGACAGCCCACTTGGAGTTTGCCAAAAGGCACCTAAAGGACTCTCAGACCATGAAAAACAAGATTCTCTGGTCTGATGAGTCCAAGATTGAACTCTTTAACCTGAATGCCAAGCGTCACGTCTGGAGGAAACCTGGCACCATCCCTACGGTGAAGCATGGGTGGTAGCATCATGCTGTGGGGATGTTTTTCAGCAGCAGGGACTGGGAGACTAGTCAGGATCGAGGGAATGATGAACGGAGCAAAGTACAGAGAGATCCTTGAGGAAAACCTGCTCCAGAGCGTTCAGGACCTCAGACTGGGGCGAAGGTTTACCTTCCAACAGGACAATGACCCTAAGCACATAGCCAAGACAATGCAGGAGTGGCTTCGGGACAAGTCTCTGAATGTCCTTGAATGGCCCAGCCAGAGCCCAGACGTGAACCCAATGAAACATCTCTGGAGAGACCTGAAAATAGCTGTGCAGCGACGATCCCCATCCAACCTGACAGAGCTTGAGAGGATCTGCAAAGAAGAATGGGAGAAACTCCCCAAATACAGGTGTGCCAAGCTTGTAGCATCATACCAAAGAAGACTTGAAGCTGTAATCACATAGGCTCTAGGAAGAGATATTTCAGTGTTTTTATTTATAATACATTTGCAAACATTTCTAAAAACCTGTTTTTGCTTCATCATATGGATTATTGTATGTAGATTGGGAGTCAAGGGATCTGAATACTTTCTGATTGTACTGGATGTGTCATGGAACTCTCCTACCATTTGTCTTCAGATTTCATTGATAGCACAGAGGCGACAATTGGTAATGCAATACGTTTAACTGTAACCAAAGTGCATATGTAGATCTAACCGGCATGATAAGCCACACACATCCTAGAGGGAGAGGCAGTGTGACAGAATGAGGAGCGAGAAATAGTAAGAGAAAGAGGAAGCACAAAGAGACAGCCAAGAGTAGCTTATCTCATGAGAGTTACATGACCTGATCATAGTACAGTATGAAGATAAGCAGAAACTGATTCTCCAATAGAAATCTCTGATCACGATGTTAGCTAGCACAGCTCAGGCGCAGAAACATGTCATCGGGACTAATGGTCGTGTCGAGCAGAACTGCGCATGTGCAGGCCGTTAAATCAGAAGGCACTCCTTAGATATAAAGTTGTTTTTGACAAAAATTCATGTCCGTTTGTCACTTTCACAAGGTTTTAGTAATGACAGATTCAGCTACTTAAGACATTGGCTTGAATCTATGTTGTCTTTAGATTTGGAGAAAATGACACATTTTTCACTCCTCCCAGCGACTTGCCAAACCCCGGTCTGGTCTGTCGAGTTCCCGTATCATGATGTTGTGCCTCTGTGTTTGAAAACCCAGTGGTAAAATACTCTCTCAGTAGGCAAATTGATGGTTTGAAGGCAAGCGTTCTGGTTACTTACTCATAGAAGGCAAGCGTTCTGGTTACTTACTCATAGAAGGCAAGCGTTCTGGTTACTTACTCATAGAAGGCAAGCGTTCTGGTTACTTATTCATAGAAGGTAAGCGTTCTGGTTACTTACTCATAGAAGGTAAGCGTTCTGGGCAGGGGAGGTTCTGGGCATATGTGAAGTTCTCAGGGAGGTATGAGGTTGGCTGGGCCATGTATTCACTGGAGTTAATGCCATCTGGGTAATCTACAGGAACAAACAAGACATTTATTTTTTGATTGATTGTATAAAATTACCTTTCTATATTCTCCCTTTTAGGTAACTTAGAGATGGATAATGCTGATTATAGGTAGTGGAGGGGAGTAGACTGTATTTCAACCAACATCAGCTCTATTGGAGCTAGAGTGAGGGTCGTTCTTGTGATTTTTGGCTGCCCCTCGTCTCATATTGGTTGAAGCACTGCCTACTCCCCTACACTACATATTAATCAGCAAGATCCCTCTCTCTCTTAACTACCTAAAAGGGGGAAGATTGAGAGGTCATGTATACACTCTCCTACATATTTATTTGGACAGTGAAGCGACAACTTTTAATTTGGCTATACAAATGTTTTATAAGGCGACCGTACATAATGCCACATTTTGATACATCTGTTTGAAAGTTTTTAAATGAAAGCGCTTTATGTATCTAGTCCCCCCATTTGAAGGTGTCATACAGTGCCCTACTGAATTATTTGCACCCTAGGTAAATATGAACAAAAAAGGCTGTGAAAAAATGTCATGAATCTAACCTTTAATTTAGTTAAAATTGTTCAAAGATAGTCATCAAGAAACACATTTTATATTCGAAAACATGCATGGTTCCGTGTGGCTCAGTTGTTAGAGCATGGTGCTTGCAACACTTTTTAAAATGTAAAATATCACAATTATTGGCACCCCTGCATTTAGTACTTTGTGCACCCTCCCTTTGCCAACAGCTCTGAGTCATCTCCTATAATGTTTGATGAGGTGGGAGAACACATAGGAAGAGATTTGAGACCATTCCTCCATACAGAAACTCTCCAGATCCTTCAGAGTCCTTGGTCCTCACTTGTGGACTCTCCTCTTCAGCTCACCCCACAGGTTTTCAATGGGGTTTAGGTCAGGGGACTGGGATGGCCATTGCAAAAGTTTGATTCTATGGTCAGTGAACCATTTGTGTGGATTTTGAGGTATGCTTTGGATCGTTGTCCTCCTGGAAGATCCAACGACGACCCAGTTTTAGCCTCCTGGCAGAAGCAGACAGGTTTTGGCCTAAAATCTCATGGTAATTGATGGAGTCCATGATCAAATCAAATTGTATTTGTCACATGCGCCGAATACAACAGGTGTAGACCTTACAGGGAAATGCTTACTTACAAACCCTTAACCAACAATGGAGTTTTAAGAAAGAATACAAAAATAAAATGAAAATAAAAATACAAAAAAGACACAAAAAAGACAATATCAAATACTACGAAATAAAAGTACCAAAGAATTAAAAGAGCAGCAGTAAAACCAACAATAGCGAGGCTATATACAGGGGGCACCGGTACCGAGTCAATGTGCGGGGGCACCGGTTAGTCGAGGTAATATGTACATGTAGGTACAGTTAATAAAGTGACTATGCATAGATAATAAACAGAGTAGCAGCAGCATAAAAGAGGGGGGGCAATGCAAATAGTCTGGGTAGCCATTTGATTAGATGTTCAGGAGTCTTATAGCTTGGGGGTAGAAGCTGTTTAGAAGCCTCTTGGACCTAGACATGGCACTCCGGTACCGCTTGCCATGCGGTAGCAGAGAGAACAGTCTATGACTAGGGCGGCTGGAGTCTGACCATTTTTAGGGCCTTCCTCTGACACCGCCTGGTATAGAAGTCCTGGATGGAAGGAACCTTAGCCCCAGTGATGTACTGGGCCATAAGCACTACCCTCTGTAGTGCCTTGCAGTCGGAGGTCGAGCAGTTCCCATACCAGGCAGTGATGCAACCAGTCAGGATGCTCTTGATGGTGCAGCTGTAGAACCTTTTGAGGATCTGATGACCCATGCCAAATCTTTTCAGTCTCCTTAGGGGGAATAGGTTTTGTCATGCCCTCTTCACGACGGTCTTGGTGTGCTTGGACCATGTTAGTTTGTTGGTGATGTGGACACCAAGCTCTCAAGCTGCTCCACTACAGCCCCATCAATGAGAATGGGGGTGTGCTCAGTCCTCTTCTTTTTCCTGTAGTCCACAATCATCTCCTTTGTCTTGATCACGTTGAGGGAGAGGTTGTTGTCCTGGCTCCACACGGCCAGGTCTCTGACCTCCTCCCAACAGGCTGTCTCGTCGTTGTCGGTGATCAGGCCTACCACTGTTCTGTCATCAGCAAACTTAATGATTGTGTTGGAGTCGTGCCTAGACATGCAGTCATGAGTGAACAGGGAGTACAGGAGGGGACTGAGAACGCACCCCTAAGGGGGCCCTGTGTTGAGGATCAGCGTGGCAGATGTGTTGTTCCCTACCATTACCACCTGGGGGCGGCCCGTCAGGAAGTCCAGGATCCAGTTGCAGAGGGAGGTGTTTAGTCCCAGGGTCCTTAGCTTAGTGAGGAGCTTTGAGGGCATTATGGTGTTGAACGCTGAGCTGTAGTCAATAAATAGCATTCTCACATAGGTGTTCCTTTTGTCCAGGTGTGAAAGGGCAGTGTGGAGCGCAATAGAGATTGCATCATCTGTGGATCTGTTGGGGCGGTATGCAAATGTAGTGTGTCTAGGGTTTCTGGGATAATGGCGTTAATGTGAGCCAAGACCAGCCTTTCAAAGGACTTCATGGCTACAGACGTGAGTGCTACGGGTCGGTAGTCATTTAGGCAGGTTACCATAGTGTTCTTGGGCACAGGGACTATGGTCGTCTGCTTGAAACATGTTGGTACTACAGACTCAAACAGGGAGAGGTTGGAAATGTCAGTGAAGACACTTGCCAGTTGGTCAGCGCATGCTTGGAGTACACACAGTCGTCCGGAACAGCTGATGCTCTCATGCATGTTTCAGTGTTACTTGCCTCGAAGCGAGCATAGAAGTAATTTAGCTCGTCTGGTAGGCTTGTGTCACTGGGCAGCTCGCGGCTGTGCTTCCCTTTGTAGTCTGTAATAGTTTGCAAGCCCTGCCACATCCGACGAGCTTCGGAGCCGGTGTAGTACGATTCGATCTTAGTCCTGTATTGACGCTTTGCCTGTTTGATGGTTCAGAGGGCATAGCGGGATTTCTTATAAGCTTCCGGGTTAGAGTCCCACTCCTTGAAAGCGGCAGCTCTACCCTTTAGCTCAGTGCGGATGTTGCCTGCAATCCATGGCTTCTGGTTGGGGTATGTACGTACAGTCACTGTGGGGACGACGTCATCGATGAAGCCAGTGACTGATGTGGTGTACTCCTAACAAGGTTCCCAGGGCCTTTGGAAATAAAACAGCCCCACAACATCACAGATCCAGAACCATTCTTCACAGTGGGGATTAGGTTATTTTCTGCATGACCATGGCTCTTTTTTACGCCAAACCCACCTCTGGTGTTTGTTGCCAAAAATATATATTTTAGTCTCATCAGACAATAGAACCTGATTCCAATCAAAGTTCCAATGACATTTAGCAAACTCCAGGTACTTACATTTGTGGTTTGGTGACAGCAGAGGCTTTCTTCTGGCATCCAAATAACTTGTTGGCATGGAGGTGAGGTCTAATTGTAGTTTTGGAGACCCCAAGATGTAACTAACTTCTGCAATTCTCCAACTGTAATTCTTGGAGATTTTTTTGCTACTTGAACCATCCTTCTCACTGTGCGTGGAGGCAAAATACACTTGCGTCCTCTTCCAGGCAAGTTCATCACAGCTCCATTTGTTTTACATTTCTTAATTATTGACCCTAATAGTGGAGATGGGTATTTTCAGGCACGTAGCTATCTTTTTATAGCCATTGCCTGACTTGTGAAGGTCAACAACATTGTCTCATTTCATGTGTGTGTTCTCTGGCCTTTCCCATGTTGATGGATGACTAAGGGAGTTTAGCCTGTGTGTCACCTCATATTTATACCCCAGTGAAACAGGAAGTAATGGATGACCACTTAAGAGTTCCCAAAAACTCAGATGAGCTTTAACAGGTAAATTCATAAAATCGGAATATACATCAGATTTTTTTCATTAGAATTTCTAGGGGTGCCAGCAAATGTGAGACGCATGTTCTTGAATTTTTTTTATTTCTTGATGACTATTATTTTTGAACAATTTTTACTCAAAGGTTAGAATCATAACATATTTGAGTGTAAGATCAAGCTGATAAACAATAAAAAAAAAATCACAGCCTTTTTTGTTCATATTTACCTAGGGTGCCAATAATTCAGGAGGGCCCTAAGTATTTGGATGAATTCACTTATAGAGTGCCTTCGGAAAGTATTCAGACCCATTGACTTTTTCCACATTTTGTTACGTTACAGCCTTATTCTAAAATGTATTAAATTCTTGTTTTTTTCTCTCATCAATCTACACACAATACCCCATATTGATAAAGCAAAAACAGGTTAATAAAACAAATATATATATATATATATATATATATATAAAACATTTACATAAGTATTCAGACCCTTTACTCAGTACTTTGTTGAAGCACCTTTGGCAGCAATTACAGGCTCGAGTCTTCTTGGGTATGACGCTACAAGCTTGGCACACCTGTATTTGGGGAGTTTCTCCCATTCTTCTCTGCAGATCCTCTCGCTCTGTCAGGTTGGATGGGGAGCGTTGCTGCACAGCTATTTTCAGGTCTCTCCAGAGATGTTAGATCGGGTTCAAGTCCGGGCTCTGGATGGGCTACTCAAGGACATTCAGCTATGTGCTTAGGGTCGTTGTCCTGTAGGAAGATGAACCTTTGCCCCAGTCTGAGGTCCTGAGCGCTCTAGAGCAGGTTTTCCTCAAGGATCTCTCTGTACTTTGCTCTGTTAATCTTTGCCTCGATCCTGACTAGTCTCCCAGTCCCTGCCACTGAAAAACACCCCCACAGCATGATTCTGCCACCACCATGCTTCACCGTAGGGATGGTGCCAGGTTTCCTCCAGACTTGACACTTGGCATTCAGGCCAAAGAGTTGAATCTTGGTTTCATCAGACAAGGTCTCACGGTCTGAAAGTCTTTAGGTGACTTTTGGCAAACTCCAAGCGGGCTGTCATGTGCCATTTTACTGAGGAATGACTTCCATCTGGCCACTCTACCATAAAGGCTTGATTGGTGGAGTGCTGCAAAGATGGTTGTCCTTCTGGAAGGTTCTCCCATCTCCACAGAGGAATTCTGGAGCTCTGCCAGAGTGACCATTGGGTTCTTGGTCACCTACCTGACCAAGGCCCTTCTCCCCCGATTACTCAGATTGGCCAGGCGGCCAGCTCTAGTAAGAGTCTTGGTGGTTCCAAACTTCTTCCATTTAAGAATGATGGAGGCCACTGTGTTCTTGGGACCTTCAATGCTGTAGACATTTTTTGGTAACCCTTCCCCAGATCTGTGCCTCAACACAATCCTGTCTCGGAGCTCTACGGACAATTCCTTCGACCTCATGGCTTTGTTTTTGCTCTGACATGCACTGTCAACTGTGGGACCTTATATAGACAGGTGTGTGCCTTTCCAAATCATGTCCAATCAATTGAATTTACCACAGGTGGACTCCAATTAAGTTGTAGAAACTCAATTTCGAGTCTCATAGCAAAGGGTCTGAATACTTATGTAAATAAGGTATTTGTTTTTTAAGTTTAATAAATTTGCAAACATTTCTAAAAACCTGTTTTCGCTTTGTTATTATGGGGTATTGTGTGTAGATTGCTGAGGATTCTTCTTTATTTAATCCATTTTAGAATAAGGCTGTAACGTAACAAAATGTGGAAAAAGTCAAGGGGTCTGAATACTTTCCGAAGGCACTGTAAGCGTGTTCAAGTAGTCAAAAGTTTAGTATTTGGTCCCAAATACCTAGCACACAATAACTACATCAAGCTTGTGACTCTACAACCTTGTTGGATGCATTTACAGATTGTTTTGGTTGTGTTTCAGATTATGTTGTGGCCAATATATTTTTTTAAACATTTTAGTCATTTAGCAGACACTCTTATCCAGAGCGACTTACAGTTAGTGAGTGCATACATTTTTCATACTGTTTTTCATACTGGCCCCCCGTGGGAATCGAACCCACAACCCTGCTGTTGCAAGCGCCATGCTCTACCAACTGAGCTACAGGAGACCTGAATGGTAAATAATGTTTTTATTGTAAATAAGAATAGAATGTTTCTTAACACTTCTACATTAATGTGGATGCTACCATGATTACAGATAATAATGAATGATGTATGAGAAAGTTAGAGGCACAAAGATCATACCCCCAAGACCATCTTAACCTCTCACCATTACCAATAACAGGGGAGGGAGTATTTTTTTGGAATATTTATGTCTCTGACTTTCTCACTCCTCATTATTCACGATTCATTCATGATTATCCATTATCATGGTAGCGTCCACATTAATGTAGAATGAGACATATTCTATTCTTATTTAAAATAACAGTGTCTCCATAATGTCAATATATTATTTACCATTCATTTATATTGGGCACAAAATAAATCGGAAACAACCTAAACAAAATGCATCCAACAAGTTTGTAGTCACAAGCTTGATGTAGCCTACTGAGGATTATTTCTGTCTGTAATAAAGCTCTTTTGTGGGGAAAAACTAATTCTGATTGTTTGGGCCTGGCTTTCCCAGTAGGTGGGCCTATGTCCTCCAAGGCCCACCCATGGCTGCACCCCTACCCAGTCATGTGAAATCCATAGATTAGGGACTAATTCATTTCTTTCAATTGACTGATTTCCTTATATGAACTGTAACTCAGTAAAATCTTTGAAATTGTCACAAGTTGCATTTATATTTTTGCTCAGTATACTTATGACATCTTAAAATTGGGGGGACTAGATACATAAAGTGTCAATTCTGTACTGTCACCTCATATGAAACATTTGATCTCAAATCCAAAATGCTGGAGTATAGAGCCAAATTAAATGTTTTAGTGTCACAGTCCAAATAGATTAGTAGGGAAGTGTATAATTGATATCTCGATTTTACTTTTTAAGGGAGGAATGCTGCTTAAGATAGGAGGTGGATGGGAGTAGACAGCAGTTAGACAAAAGTGACGAAGTGCAGCCAAAAATTACAAGAACCTCAGAAGAAAAATAGCAGCAACTGCAGTCCCTTTAGCAAGGGCCATTATTTTGATATTTGGCTGCCCATCGTGTCATGTTGGTGGGACGGGTGTCTCCAATCAAACTCACCAGTGCCGTTGAGGGTACTGTTCTTATTGGCGTAGAGTCTGATCATCTGACCAATGGTCCTCACATTATCCCTCAACATGATGCCCTGGGCCTGCACCATGAAGAAGTATGTGTTGGCTGGAGAGAGGGATTGAGAGAGGGAATGGTGAGGAAAAGGAGGGAGAGAGAAAGGGGAGAGAGAGAGGGGGGGAAATACAGGTGCAGGGAGGGGGAAAGAAAGAGAGAGGGACAGAAGGAAAGAGAGTGCAATCACTTTAGTCTGTTTGACTGGTTCAATTACACCCCCCTCACGTACCAGTCCACGACAGTAAATTTGCTGACTTTTCATGTCGTCAGCGTAAAAGCTTGCCCTCCCTCAGTCTCTTGGCCATAAAGGAACAGCCTCCGTCCCAGCAGCTAACAGCAACGAGAAGCAGGCGGCGAGATAAGAGGCAGGAAATCCCTGTCTCTGGCTACGTCCTAAATAGCACCCTATTCCCTATATAGTGCACCTCACCCTATAGGCCCTGGTCAAAAGTATTGCGTCTATTTGGGACGCAGTCTCAGTCCCACGACCGACTACAGACAGCAGGGCCAGCCTAGAGGCTGCTAGGGGCTCTGAATAATTAAACATTTACCACTACTGCAGCAAAACAGCCAGGGTGCACACACACTTCATCAGCTAAGGTTACACACACATCTCATCAGTTTACACACTCACGCATCTCATCAACTTACACACCCATCTCATCAATTACAAACACGGGCACCAAATCAGTTACACAAAAACCCACACACTCCCAGCCACGCACTCAAGCACACTATCTGCATGCCTTGTTCTATCACCCATTACAGAGAACCTTAAGTTGATCTCTTGAGTGACAGCTCTTTGGTCTGAGGCTGAACAGGGATAGCAGTCTGCCACGCCACACAACGACAGTGTTGAATGATGGATTCCAGAGTTTACTCCCTCCCTTCGTGTATGTGTACCCTGTGTGTGTACAGTGCGCAAGCATTTGCTTGTGTGTATGTGAGAGTGTATCCACTTCGGTAAAAAGGAGAGAGTGCTCAGAGGCAATAAGTCTTGTCAGAAGCAGCCAGACTATCTTGGACCGGAGGAGGAGGAGGAGGGGGGGTGAGAGGACAGATCAAGCACTAAGAGCCCATTACACTGACACACAAACTAATAGGGCTGGGCGGTATATCGTATTACACTGACACACAAACTAATAGGGCTGGGCGGTATATCGTATTTTACTATACCCCGGTACTGATGCGCAGACCGGTATGAATTTCTACCTTCTATAATGGTATTTCAATGTTTGCCTTGTTAAATGTGATGCGCAACTCTGGCGTGTATAATGTCCATTTTTTATAGTTCACTCCATTTGCTACATGAGTCATCTCTCTCCCTCTCCTCCTGCTGCTGCATGATGCTAAACCAAACCAAGCCCTGACACTCAAGGAGATAGTAGTTGCTCGACCACTTGCCGTTCACTCAATGGTCAGATGGATGCAACAATGTTGGTGACATGCTGCTTCCACAAGCCTTATATAATTACACCATTCGTTTGTGTAACTAATGTCTGCTAGTTTGTAGTTTCTTAGCAAGGTGTTGCTAAAATAATTTATGTTAGCCGCTAATGCCAAACGCTAGTTAGATGGCTAGTTAGCTTGCTAAATGCACTAAGAGTCAGAGCACAGTTAGAAAGATATGGCATATAGAAGCATACCAGATGGACATCATGAAAATGATCAGAGGAAGTTCAGGAGAAAAAAACAAACAATATATAATTATTGACTGTGTCCATAAAATGTATATAGTATGTATAAGCATGAAGTAGAGGCCTAAGCGTTGTTGTTCACTACTTTACTCCAATTAGGGAAGGGATGGTGGGGTTGGAAAGTAATAAAGGGAAATATATATATTTTTAAAGGAGATATAGATATATATATACACACACACACACACAGTGAGGGAAAAAAGTATTTGATCCCCTGCTGATTTTGTACGTTTGCCCACTGACAAAGACATGATCAGTCTATAATTTTAATGGTAGGTTTATTTGAACAGTGAGAGACAGAATAACAACAAAAAAATCCAGAAAAACGCATGTCAAAATTGTTATGAATTGATTTGCATTTTAATGAGGGAAATAAGTATTTGACCCCCTCTCAATCAGAAAGAATTCTGGCTCCCAGGTGTCTTTTATACAGGTAACGAACTGAGATTAGGAGCACACTCTTACAGGGAGTGCTCCTAATCTCAGTTTGTTACCTGTATAAAAAGACACCTGTCCACAGAAGCAATCAATCAAATCAGATTCCAAACTCTCCACCATGGCCTAGACCAAAGAGCTCTCCAAGGATGTCAGGGACAAGATTGTAGACCTACACAAGGCTGGAATGGGCTACAATACCATCGCCAAGCAGCTTGGTGAGAAGGTGACAACAGTTGGTGCGATTATTCGCAAATGGAAGAAACACAAAAGAACTGTCAATCTCCCTCGGCCTGGGGCTCCATGCAAGTTTACATTTTACATTTTAGTCATTTAGCAGACGCTCTTATCCAGAGCGACTTACATGAGCAATTAGGGTTAAGTGCCTTGCTCAAGGGCACATCGACAGATTTTTCACCTAGTTGGCTCGGGGATTAGAACCAGCGACCTTTCAGTTACTGGCACAACGTTCTTAACCACTAAGCTACCTGCCGCCCCAAGATCTCACCTCGTGGAGTTGCAATGATCATGAGAACGGTGAGGAATCAGCCCAGAACTACACGGGAGGATCTTGTCAATGATCTCAAGGCAGCTGGGACCATAGTCACCAAGAAAACAATTGGTAACACACTACGCCGTGAAGGACTGAAATCCTGCAGGGCCCGCAAGGTCCCCCTGCTCAAGAAAGCACATATACAGGCCCGTCTGAAATGTGCCAATGAACATCTGAATGATTCAGAGGAGAACTGGGTGAAAGTGTTGTGGTCAGATGAGACCAAAATCGAGCTCTTTGGCATCAACTCAACTCGTCGTGTTTGGAGGAGGAGGAATGCTGCCTATGACCCCAAGAACACCATCCCCACCGTCAAACGTGGAGGTGGAAACATTATGCTTTGGGGGTGTTTTTCTGCTAAGGGGACAGGACAACTTCACCGCATCAAAAGGGACGATGGATGGGGCCATATACTGTCAAATCTTGGGTGAGAACCTCCTTCCCTCAGCCAGGGCATTGAAAATGGGTCGTGGATGGGTATTGCAGCATGACAATGACCCAAAACACACGGCCAAGGCAACAGAGGAGTGGCTCAAGAAGAAGCACATTAAGGTCCTGGAGTGGTCTAGCCAGTCTCCAGACCTTAATCCCATAGCAAATATGTGGAGGGAGCTGAAGGTTCGAGTTGCCAAACGTCAGCCTCGAAAGCTTAATGACTTGGAGAAGATCTGCAAAGAGGAGTGGAACAAAATCCCTCCTGAGATGTGTCCAAACCTGGTGGCCAACTACAAGAAACATCTGACCTCTGTGATTGCCAACAAGGGTTTTGCAGAGGGGTCAAATACTTATTTCCCTCATTAAAAATGCAAATCAATTGATAACATTTTTTACATGCGTTTTTCTGGATTCTTGTTATTCTGTCTCTCACTGTTCAAATAAACCTACTATTAAAATTATAGACTGATCATGTCTTTGTCAATGGGCAACCGTACAAAATCAGCAGGGGATCAAATGCTTTTTTCTCTCACTGTATGTATGCATGTGTGTGTATATATATATATATATATATATATATATATATATATATATATATATATATATATATATATATATATATATATATATATATATATATGTGTGTGTGTGTGTGTGTGTGTGTGTGTGTGTGTGTGTGTGTGTATATATATATATGCGAGAGAAAAAAAGAAAAAAAACATATTGGGGATTGGAAGTTTACATTGATGGAAGTTACAATCTATCTGCAATATTAAAGCTGACCTACCCCCTAAAAAAACAAGAAAAATAAAAAACAAAGAGTCAGAGCATAATACTGCGCCGGAGAAGATGGCTGCCGTTTTACAGCCCTCTAACCAATTGTACTATTATGTGTGTTTTTCCGCGTTATTTGTAATTTATTTTGTAAATAATGTTTCTGCCATCATCTCTTATAACCAAAAAGAGCTTCTGGATATCAGGACAGCGATTACTCACCTCGTATTGGACGAAGATTTTTTCTTCAACGAGGCGGCCGCGAAGGATATCATACAGACACCCGACAAGGCCCAAATCCCCGTCATTCGCGTGAGGAAGAGACGGAGATATCGTGGACGTAGATCGGGGTGCCTTGTAAGGATCCGACGGCGAGCGAGTAAACTGCCTCTTCCATCAATCCTATTAGCCAACGTTCAATCATTTGAAAATAAATTGGATGACCTAAGATTACGGTTATCCTACCAACGGGATATTAAAAACTGTAATATCTTATGTTTCACCGAGTCGTGGCTGAACGACGACATGGATATCATACAGCTAGCGGGCTATACGCTACATCGGCAGGATAGAACGGTTGACTCCGGTAAGACAAGGGGTGGCAGTCTGTGTATATTTGTAAACAACAGCTGGTGCACAAAATCAAATACTAAGGAAGTCTCGAGGTTTTGCTCGCCTGAGGTAGAGTATCTTATGATAAGCTGTAGACCACACTATTTACCAAGATAGTTTTCATCTATATTTTTCATAGCTGTCTATTTACCACCACAAACCAATGCTGGCATTAAGATTGCACTGAATGAGTTGTACAAGGCCATAAATCAACAGGAAAACGCTCATCCAGATGCAGCGCTCCTAGTGGCCGGGGACTTTAATGCAGGGAAACTTAAATCCGTTCTACCTAATTTCTACCAGCATGTTAAATGTGCAACCAGAGGAAAAAAAAAAACTCTAGACCACCTTTACTCCACACACAGAGACTCGTACAAAGCTCTCTCTCACCCTCCATTTGGCAAATCTGACCATAACTCTATCCTCCTGATTCCCGCTTCCGAGCAAAAACTAAAGCAGGAAGCACCAGTGACTCGGTTAATAAAAAAGTGGTCAGATGACACAGATGCTAAGCTACAGGACTGTTTTGCTAGCACAGACTGGAACATGTTCCAGGATTCTTCAGACAGCATTGAGGAGTACACCACATCAGTCACTGGCTTCATCAATAAGTGCATCGATGATGTCATCCCCACAGTGACCGTACGTACATACCCCAACCAGAAGCCATGGATTACAGGAAACATCCGCACTGAGCTAAAGGGTAGAGCTGCCGCTTTCAAGGAACGGGACTCTAACCCGGACGCTTATAAGAAATCCCGCTATGACCTCCGACGAACCATCAAACAGGCAAAGAGTCAATACAGGACTAAGATTGAATCGTACTACACTGGCTCTGACGCTCGTCGGATGTGGCAGGGCTTGAAAACTATTACAGACTACAAAGGGAAGCACAGCCGCGAGCTGCCCAGTGACACAAGCCTACCAGACGAGCTAAACCACTTCTATGCTCGCTTCTAGGCAAGCAACACTGAAGCATGCATGAGAGCACCAGCTGTTCCGGATGACTATGTGATCACGCTCTCCGTAGCCGATGTGAGTAAGACTTTTAAGCAGGTCAACATTCACAAGGCCGCAGGGCCAGACGGATTACCAGGACGTGTACTCCGAGCATGTGCTGACCAACTGGCAAGTGTCTTCACTGACATTTTCAACATGTCCCTGACTGAGTCTGCAATACCAACATGTTTCAAGCAGACCACCATAGTCCCCGTGCCCAAGGACTCTAAGATAACCTGCCTAAATGACTACCGACCCGTAGCACTGACGTATGTAGCCATGAAGTGCTTTGAAAGGCTGGTCATGGCTCACATCAACAGCATTATCCCAGAAACCCTAGACCCACTCCAATTTGCATACCGCCCCAACAGATCCACAGATGTTGCAATCTCTATTGCACTCCACACTGCCCTTTCCCACCTGGACAAGAGGAACACCTACGTGAGAATGCTATTCATTGACTACAGCTCAGCATTCAACACCATAGTGCCCTCTAAGCTCATCACTAAGCTAAGGATCCTGGGACTAAACACCTCCCTCTGCAACTGGATCCTGGACTTCCTGACGGGCCGCCCCCAGGTTTATTTTACTTCTGCTCTTTTTTTTCTCAACACTTTTTTTGTTGTTGTTTTATTTTTACTTTTTTTGTTAAAAATAAATATACTGTTGGTTAAGGGCTGTAAGTAAGCATTTCACTGTAATGTCTGCACCTGTTGTATTCGGCGCATGTGACCAATACAATTTGATTTGATTTGCCTAAATAAGCATGTTTGTGCAACGGTATCTTATCAGAGAGGAATAGGCGAAGCATGATTATGTTGGCTGGCTAGCTAGCAAGCTACATGTAGTGAGAAAACATGTAATGTAATATCTAATTAGGGTCACCTGGAAACACTGACCAACACTTTGGTCCCTACCCTGTCAATAATTCCTCCCTGGCTTATTAATGAATTGTCATGTCAAACAACAATGTATTCTAGGTCCTGCCCACTCTATTCCAACAATAGAATTAGAATAATTATATTTCCAAGATTCCAACAGTTCACCAATTAACTAAGACTAGATATTGTCCATATCATGCTGCTTGGCACAGTGCGCAAATTATAATAAAAGTGCAGGAAATACAGAAATTGATGCTGAAAATAATTTTTGTTGAGAGTATAAATGTAGAAAGCCCCCAATGAAATCACATAATGTGTTGCCACCCTAGGGTCATGAACTACTAATAAAGCATATTTAGAAATTGTATTATTTAACAACAGAAAATACCGTCACTGTCAAAAATGTGAAGAAAATTGTGATATATTTTATCCATATTGCCCAGCTCTACCAACTAATACATTCACAGAAGCCTAGTTTTGAGAAGCCTTTTGAGGCTAAATAACAAGATTTCAACTAGCATTACAGCATATCCGACTAGCCTATAGCCCAGCCACAGCATAAAGCAAATCTCCCGTTACTGTTATTAGAGACTGACTCAGGTTTAACAAGCGAGTAATACAATATAATTCAATCATTAGATTGGACACAATACACCCATTTGAGTTCATGGTATCCAATGTCATAGGTAGGCCAATCTCAAGAGTCTGAACCACCAATTATTTGCATATCAGGGTCAGTGCTGTGCCCCATCACCACAACTTGGGTGTTATCACACTTTTTATGCAAAGCAATCCAAAAGCACTGTCACACACACACACACACACTATAGAGAAGGTGTGTATGTCAGTCATCATACACCATGCTCTCTGTGCTGACCACATCTGACTGTAATAATGACTGTGACCAACTGACCATATAATCCAGCATTATCCAATCTTGTTAGCCTACATACTGACACTGTCTCAGATACTTTACACACAGCAATCATTGACTGGACATAGCTACACATCTAATATTAAAGAACGGATCTTCAAGAATCATTTGCTATTTTAAACACAGAACATAGAGGATAACCTATGGGACTTCTATAGGCTATGAAAAAGAAAGCTGGTGTTCGATGGCTCAGAGGATGAAAACACATTCTCCAGACCTACTGACCTTTTCAGATATTACTAGGCCTATATTAATGGTATTTTCCAATGTCTGTCTACTATACTGCACATACAGCTGGCAGTGGTTTACCTTTTTGATGCTATTCAAATCAAAACAATCTAGGCCTAATATCTCCAGTAATGGTTGAAGGACATACGTTTGAAATTTGTTTTGGTTCTCATCCAGACAGTTGCGTCACATAGCTACGCTATGGAGAAGACGTGGCCGGCGAGATGCCTTGAGCTACAGGTAACTGCCAAAATAATGGAAACACTTAAGTAAATGAGGGATATAAAGTATATTGAAAGCAGGTGCTTCCACACAGGTGTGGTTCCTGAGTTAATTAAGCAATTAACATCCCATCATGCTTAGGGTCATGTATAAAATGCATGGCAGGCCATTATTTTGGCTACAATGGCTATGCCCCCATCCACAGGGCACGAGTGGTCAACGAATGGTTTGATGAGCATGAAAACGATGTAAACCATATGCCATGGCCGTCTCAGTCACCAGATCTCAACCCAATTTAACACTTATGGGAGATTCTGGAGCGGTGCCTGAGACAGCATTTTCCACCACCATCAACAAAACAACAAATGTTGGAATTTCTTGTGGAAGAATGGTGTCGCATCCCTCCAATAGAGTTCCAGACACTTGTACAATCTATGCCAAGGTGCATTGAAGCTGTTCTGGCACGTGGTGGCGCAATGCCCTATTAAGACATTATGTTGGTGTTTCCTTTATTTTGGTAGTTACCTGTACCTGCCTGCGCCCAGAAGACCTGCTCTGGCTGCTCAGCTCCCCCTGTTGACCACCTGAACCTCCCTCTGCTCAAGCCTTGTGCTTGACTGTCGCGCCATCTGTTGGAGGGTTGAAGTACTCAAAACGTTTTAAGTCCAAACCTACACTCATGTCATTCATACTTTAATTGAGGTTTGTTATGCTTTTCAAGCACTTTGAGATTTGTTTATTTGTACAGTGGGTATCATAAGTATTCACCCCCTTGGATTCTTTTAACGTTTTGTTGTATTACAAAGTCGGATTGAAATAAACTAGATTTAATTGAGATTTGTTTGTCATTGATCTACACAAAATACTCCATAATGTCAAAGTGAATTGAGAATCCTTCAAATGTTTACTAATTAATAAACATTTTATAACTAAAATAGTCGTTGCATAAGGGCAATTCCACGCTAACAGAACTGCGCTTTGACTCAGATTTTTCACTTTAAAATGTAGGCTATGCCAAACAAAAACCATTGATTTCAAAGTTTAACAAACCATACAACTCCACAAGGACTACTTTGAACAATTTGCACAGAAAATGTCACAAAAACCTTTACTGGAAGAACTGTGCCGATGCAAAGTCTGGTAACAGAATTACGGCAAAGTTTTTTATGCAACCACATTTTCCAAAAACACTTAAATATCTGCTCCGAATTAAGATTCAAAGATGTCTGCAGAAATGTGGTGTCAGCTATGACATGACACCTTGAGTTAAAAAAATATATATTTTGGTTATTGAACTACAGTATGTGAAGTGGATTTACATCCGGTAACGGAATTATGGTTACGGAATTACATCATGGGTCCCTGATCTGTACTATACAGAAATGCATAATTGTTGATATGAATTTCATTTTCTTCATTGTGATGTATCCTGAATAGGTACACAAAGTTAGAAATATACAAACAAGACAACATTTGGTTGGTCCGGACCAGACCAAATCTGAAACCAATCATAGACATCTATGTCTCACAACTTCGGACATCACAGTACGGCACAGCACAGTTCAGTACATTATACTGTACTCTAGTGTGCTTTACTGTACTGTTCTATACTCTACTGTACTGTTCAAATTTGCAAAACAGACGTCTATGATTGGTTCAGATTTGGTCCGGCCAGGGCGGACTGACCAAATTTCAACATCCATGGACGTCGATGTTGGTCGGTGCTCAGTGTGTGAGGATGCTTGTTACAGTAAATGGAAAGAGAATAGGTGGTAGGCCTCATGGTAGGTGTCAGTAGGAGCCAGGAGAGGTGACAGAGAGAGCATCAAGAGAGAGCGAGAGCGTGAGGGATTGTCCAGACGGTTTTCACAGTCTTGCTTTGACGACCAGACGACAGAAAGAGAAAGAAAACAGTTATGAGCTGAACATAACATTTACATTTTACATTTACGTCATTTAGCAGACGCTCTTATCCAGAGCGACTTACAAACTTACAAATAACAGTATGCCAGTGGAAGGGAGGACAGTAGCAGGTGACCCAACTGTGTTTGGTGACTACTAGGATTTCCCATTGTAGCCAACTTAATTGCAGTAATTACATTACTAATTGTTCCATAATTCTGTTACAGTAACAGAATTACGGGTTTTAATCACTTAATAAACAAACTTGATATCAGTAAAAACACTAATTGGTAGGTCTACCTTTACTTGTTACTTCTGTGAAATTTCATTATCCTTCCTCCTCATGACGGAGAGAAATTAGAAAATAGATACATGGGTTTTTGGTAAAGGAATTACAAGGCACAAGGCAATGTTTCTTAAACTTACAGAAGGCAACTAAACGTCAGTTAGAGTACTCAAAACTCGATTTTTAACCAGAGATCTTTTTTTTTCTTCAAATACTGAAAAACTATTTGGTGGAATGTGCTTTGTGGCTTGTCCCGAAAAAAGAAAAAAATATGTCTAGTGTTCCATTTGTACATGTGCTTTTGCGGGGCACAACAAAAAAAGAAACCAAGCAAAGCATCACAGTTATTTTCCCTAAATTCCCTTTCCCCACCATGTCACACTCACTCAATTGTGTTCTGACCGCTCCCTCTACACACCAGTGCTGAGTGCGCACACAAGCTCCTGTTAGGCCTACAGAAATAAATTACTACAAAAACGGTGGGAGAGGGGGCATTAAAAAAAATGTCTAACTGATGGGATACAAAATTTACATTCCTTGCAAAATGACGACAGTTTTATCACAAATTCAAAATGGACTGGTTAATTGAAGTAGGAAAATGTGTGTTCCAACGAGCTGCAGTTTTGGAATAATTGTGTCCCGTCTATTTTTCGCTTAGGCTACTTTGCGAACTGCTAGTGCCATTTAGAATTGGTTAGCCTAGGCTATTACACCCCCCCCCCCTGAATTTACCACAGGTGTGTCTAAGTTGTAGAAACATCTCAAGGATGATCAATGGAAACAGGATACACTTGAGCTCAATTTCGAGTGTCATAGCAAAGGGTCTGAATACTTATGTAAATAAGGTTTTTCTGTTATTTATTTTTAATAAATTAGCAAAAAATAATAAAAACCTGTTTTCGCTTCGTCATTATGGGGTATTGGGTGTAGATGGCTGAGGAACTTTTTTTATTTAATCCATTTTAGAATAAGGCTGTAACGCAACAAAATGTGGAAAAGGTCAAGGGGGCTGAATACTTTCCGACTACTGAATACACACACAAACATACACAAGTGTAATTAAAAGTCTCATTAAAATGTGGATTTTCAGGCACCTTCTTCATCTCAGCATTGGCTATCACCTATACTTTATTTATGTACATTCACATATACTTATGTTTTTCTTAACAGAACAACGTCTGCTTTTTTGTTCGTTTTCAAATAAATGTAAATGGCCTATTTTGGTAAATGGACTTAGTGCCCTAGCATATGGCCTTGGTGCTCTGGCAGATTGGTCACCTCTTGAAGGCCAAATCACGAAATTTCAGGCCTGGCCGCGACAGAGGTCACTGTTACTTTATAGTGCAAGTTTTCAAGGTGTTTGTGGGGGGCTGCGTGTTGCGTTAATTCAGCCATGGATCCATTCGCAGATCTGGGGACATTACGGAGAAGCCCCACAGCCATGCTGTCTTTGGAGGGGTGGATTGTGGATTTTGCTCAATTGGAAAGTTCATTCTGTGATCTTAGGATCAATGTTGTCACAGTTGCTACTTGTTGATGATGCAGCTACTAACGTTAGCTTGCTATATAGCTAGCTATCCTCTTTCTCTGTTTCTGAATTAATTTGTGGCTATTTATTTCTAGCTGGCAAAATAAGTAAGCTAGATTGATTTTGTTTGTTTGTGTATGTCGACAGCTTACAGTGCCTTCAAAAAGTATTCACATTTGACTTTTCCATATTTTGTTGTGTTACATCTTGAATTTTAAATGGATTAAATTGAGATTTTGTGGCCTACACACAATGCCCCACAACGTCAAAGTGGAATTATGTTTAGAATTTTTTACAAATTACTTCAAAATTAAAAGCTGAAATGTCTTGAGTCAGAAAGTCACTGAGCTCTTCAGTAAGGCCATTCTACTGCCAATGTTTGTCTATGGAGATTGCATGACTGTGTGCTCGATTGTATACACCTGTCAGCAACGGGTGTGGCTGAAATAGCCGAATTCACTAATTTAAAGGGGTGTCCACATACTTTTGTATCTACAGTAGGGCTGAACCCATTTAGTCAACTGGTCAATTGTTTGATTGATTGGCTGTTGGCCGACCAAGATTTTTTTAGTCGAGCAGTGGCAAATATATAAAAATAATTTATGGCACACGAGAACCTTGTCTGATTCACGCCTGTCTGAGTGGACTAATCCATTGTGGAGGCCGCGGGGATGGCACACCAGTATCACCAGTAGTATATTTACCGTTAATTATATAATTTCTCATCTACAATGTTTGTTTGGTTAAGGTAATTTCTGTTAATGCATTCAATATGTTATTATTACAGTCTTACCGTTGTCATTGTAGGAGTGGACACGTTGTTTGCAGAGCGCACAACCTAGGCTACTCTTATGAGAAAATAGTTTTGGTTCATTCATTCCAATTACGAATTGTCAATATATTCATTGTCTTTTGTTTGGAGCGCTCCTGTCAATCTTGAGTAAGGACACGCACCTGATTACACATAGAAGTAGGCCTAGGCTACCTGGCCTGCGCGCAAATGTAGGCCTAGAAAAATGTGCCCATTTGGGGATCTGATACTATTTCTGATTGTCTTAACTCCCCCATCACTGTGGAGCTTCTCAAAATAATGTTTTCTTCACCTCACACAGCAAATAAACAAAGTCTGTTTTAACATCCATTGAGAATGACAATAGTGCCTCAACTTGGCCTATTTGAAAAATCTGGTGGAAACGTCATAAAAATAAGCCTACCTGATTACTTCTTATCCCTTGCGCAAATAGCCTACAGCTGTGTCTGTCTGTCAGGACCTCACTGGCCCGGAAACTCTGAGGGCCCAGAATCTTTTATACAATGTTGCAAGTTTGCTAGCACTAGCTTCAGGCAGGACCAAGTTATTAGTGATACAATGTTTCAAGTTCCTTGCAGACAGGCCATGCGTAGCCAATGTGATTCATAGGATATTTTCTACCTGCGGGCTGCAATGTTTTTATTTGTTGGCTTTATTTACATATTGGCAATAGAAGTTACTTTTAGTTTTGTATCATTTTCATTTAGATCGAAATTTGATTAACCACATGACATTGATTTTGAGATACGAAGACTATTATAAATAAAATGACCTTTCCACGAAAATGTGCATATGAAAATCATAACTGGTACGGAGATTAGTAGAAATGGTACGATTAATTGGCACTCCAAATGGAAAAGGTTGCCGACCACTGGTGTAGCCTATTACCGCAACTGCAGGAGGGTGACGTCTGCGAAGGCCAGCAGCAGCGGGAGGAGGGGGGGGTCGGGAACAGGTTTTTTTTTCTGGTTAGGCTATATTGATCTCTGGCGCCCGCTTTAGTAATTTGTGTGTCTTCGTTTTAAATCGCAGTGCTTAAAGCATCAGACAAGCTCAGTAGCCTACATATAGTTCATTTTATTCAAACATAGGGTGTCTCTCTATATGGAAAAATACACGTTTAAAATGTTCAATCAATCAATTGGTTGAAAGAA